ATCTGGTGATCTTTGTTAAACCCGTGTTTCGTGTTTGTGAAATAATTATCATTATGTCATCGTTTCGATAGCCTTCGGTCTAATCGATTAAAAGGATAATATTCAATAGGAGACAAAACAAAGCAAAAAAGAACGAATTGCATACATCCTGGGCTTTTTGGCTTATTTTATACCATTGGACCATCGGGAGGATCTCATATGAATTAGACCGGAGGTTCTAACGATTGGCTATCAATGACAAGGTTGCAGTCGCTATGTTAAAAACTAAGCAGACCAGTTGCATAAAATTTATCCTCCACGACATAACGAGTGTAATTTTTTTTTTTTTTTTTTGGGGGGGGGGGAATTAGGATCACTGATAAATTGCCAACTCTTCGTATCAATATCGTTCGGAGCATAAAAACAAGTGATTGTCGTGTTATCGAAGCATTTATAAATGTATAAGAGAAAAAAAAGATATCCAGCTATTATATAAAAGGTCAAAGAGAAATCTGTCGAGAAAAAAGGACATATGACTTAAACGAACAAGTAGTGCCTGTGTGTGTGTGTTAGAGTGTTTTAAAAAAATTACGATAGAGTGGAAAGGTGAAATACAGTAGGTAGAGAGAGAGAGAGAGAGAGAGAGAGAGAGAGAGAGAGAGAGAGAGAGAGAGAGAGCCAGGCAGACAAATAGAGTGAATGAGAAGCAGGATAGAGAAAATGGATTAAAAATTAACAGCCAGAAAGACATATGCAAAACAAAAGGAAAGAAGTGAAGGGAGAGGGAAAGAGAAATTGATAGAAAGAAACTACTACATAGTAGAACTACTACATGGATAGTTAGGGAAAGACAGACAGAAAGATAGAAAGAGAGAGAGAGAGAGACAGGCAAATAAAGTGAATGAGAAGGAAGATAGAGAAAATTGGCTGAAAAAGTAACAGCCAGAAAGACATGCAAAACAAAAGGATTTGTTAAATTTTGGGATATTAGAATTAGATTGAGGAAAGTAGTGAAGAGAGAGGGCGAGAGAAATGGAGAGTGAGAAACATACATACATGGATAGATAGGGTAAGACAGACAGAAAGAAAGAAAGAGAGAGCGAGAGAGAGAGAGAGAGAGAGAGAGAGAGAGAGAGAGAGAGAGAGAGAGAGCCAGACAAGCAAATAAAGTGAATTAGAAGGCGGATAGAGAAAATGGAGAAAATTAGATGAAAAATTAACAGCCAAAAGACATGTGCAAAACAAAAGGATTTATTAAAGCTTGGTATATTAGAAATACATTGTGGAAAGTAGTGAAGAGAGAGGGAAAGAGAAATGGATACAGACAAACATACATACATGGATAGTTAGGGAAAGACAGACAGAAAGAAAGAGAGATAGAGAGAGGAAGATAGAGCGAGAGAGAAGGAGGATAGAGCGAGAGAGAAGGAGGATAGAGAAAATGAATAAAAATCATTCAGAGGGAATCAGTCAAAGGAAAAAATTGTTAATTTAAGAGATACCTATTGGACATAGATTGTGGAATAAAGTGGAGAGAGAGGAAAGGGCGAAACGGAGAGATAAGGAGGGAGATAATTAAATAATTAATTAAATAAAAAAAATTAAAAAATTTGTACAGATAAAACTTTTAACTATAGATAAAATATAAATAAATTCATAGATAGATAATGATAGAGGGAGATACCACGAAGGAAAGAAAAAATGGAAAAGAATCGACAAAGACGAAAGCCTTTTCCTCTTTGATATTTTAACTAAAAATTCGTTAATTTTGATGTTATTTTTGGTTTTCAACAGTTGAGAAACAATATTGAACAGTAATTAGTTTTCAATCGCAACAGAGGTCTTAAGGTCCACAGGTTTGTGCGGTCCGTTTGACGTTGAAGAAATAGAATCAACCATGCGCGCCTGTCCAATGAAAACTGGTTTTAACGTTTAGTAATAAATATAAGTCAATAAAAAATTGCTAATGAAATTCAACCAGGAAGAAATCCCTAATCCACGTTTTATTTTAAAAAAAAGTAGATGAACTTGTGAAGTTGCACGGACATGTAGAAGACGTCAATGAAAGTAAAAGTCTGCATACATAATTGATCGTTTTTCCCGCTTTGCCAACAAAATCCATTTTATTTGAATAAAATTTAGGCCTTCTATTTTTAAATAATATGCGTAATAATATTCTAGTGTCCGGTGTCTTAAAAATTTCAAATTTATCTGCATGAAATATGTAAGAAAATCACTTGATTTCAATTTTATTGTCCACGCTTATTTGATTCATCGAGTTCAATGTGTGGTCGAAAAGGACAAGATGGATTTTTAATCCATTATATTTAGTGGTCTATTGACCAAATTACTTACTTCTTTCTATTAATTAATCTTTTTTGTAAGGTTTTAGTTGAAATGGAAAAGCCAGTGCCACGAGCGGGATTCGAACCCACGACCTTCGGCTACGCCGCTGCTCTACCACTTGAGCTAGGTGACTTCGATCCATTCGGACACCAATTCCCCATTTGAAAAATGGCAAAAAGAGGGAAAATTCGAAAGGTCGTAGGTTGAGATCTCTCTAGTAGTAGAGCAGTGGATTGAGCCGAAGGTCGTGGGTTCGAATATTGCTCGTGGCACTGGCTTTTTCATTTCAACTAAAACCTTACAAAAAAAGATTAATTAATAGATTTTAAAGTTTAAATGTTGATATTGTTTAACTACTCGCCTTGAAATTTCTATTAACTCAGGTGTCACCATTTTATGAAGTTTTTCCAGCCAACGACCGTACTACTTTACCTGGAAAAACTCAACAAAATAGTGAAACCTGAGATAATTTTAGGGTTTGCTTGCCTTTGAAGTCATAAAGGTCATATGGCTTTTTAATTAATAAGCTATCAACATATGTCTAAATAAACAAGTGTTTTCTTGTATATTGTCGTTATGATCGTCCAATAATGATCACGACTTTGTATTATCATACTATATGATACATTGACAATTCTTGTAAAACGATTTTTTTTAAGATCGATAAAAATACTTAAGATAAGCAATAAATTTAATATTTGAATAAGAATTACACTGGGTATATCTAATCGTTATAAGCTTATCCTTCCTGTCTCCTTGACCTGTCAGGTTTGATTTCTTTCTTTAAAAAAATTTCAATACAAGTTATCGGCCAAAACGTTTGCCAACTATTCAGTAGAGCCAGGACGAGAATTTAAATTCCTTATCAGAAACAGTTTCTATTTCTTTTATCTCCAAAGCCATCGTGTCCGAGTGTTAAATTCGCACTTGGAATCGCTAAACCATTCCGCAGGGCCTTCATCACGTGCATTCATGAGAGCACCGAATGACAAAATTCGCAATCGGCATTGTACTTGATTCAAGGCTCCGGTCCAAAGTCACTTTGTAAAAAGTTGAAACGCAAAATTCCTTCTCATTACGGCTCTGGCAAGAATGCTAAAAGCGATTATCGGTACCAATCCGGTTTGCTGACAATTCGTGTCATTATCTAGATATTTTTCAGCCTGTAACGACCATGGATGGCGAAGTGATGAACCTTAAGACTGACCACAAGGACGGCTCGGCTAGATGATCCCAGTTGTACAAAAGTTTTCCGCCTTCGCTAGTTCCTGTACCTCATGTACTAAATGTCCAAAATGTGTAGTTTTACACTAATTTGTACCAATTTTAAAAATATACCGATTCTTATTTTCGAAAGTTGAAAGTTAGTCCAACCTCTAAGAAATAACGATTTCAAAATACCACAAGCAGGATTTTTTTTTTAATTTAATATATATAATTATATTTTTTGTTTTAAATACTGAAACTCATTTAGGTTCTTTTTCTCACGTGACAAGATATTCACCTTTTATTCTTTTACCCTCGCCTTTTCAATATTAAACACACATTTAAACGTTTCTTCTTTCTTATTTTAAATTGGAAAACAAGAAAGACCAAATAAATATTTTAAATTTAAAACTTTTACTTTTATTTGCCCTAAACTCATGGATAAATATTGCTTCTTTTCTCACATCACACACTTTTAATTTTATTCTCTAACTCTAACCTTTCAACTCCTTTCAAATATTATATACTAAATCATTTTTCATACATTTTCAAAGAATATTCTGTCATATTTACAAATGTATAAGCAATTAAGAAGTATTTAATAGTTTAAAAACAAAATGTTACTTATATTTACCCAGTATCTCATGGATTAATACTGTCTCTTCTCTCATGTAGCCGCCAATAACGTTTTATTCTTTAACACTAACCTTTCCGGCTTTTTATGTTTCTTCTGCCTTAATTAAATAAAGCTATAAGAAACAATATATAAAATATACAAATAGTTCAAAATCAAAAATTTGGCTTACATTATCCCTGTGTTCAGCGTTTAATTTTGCTTCTTTTCTCACGTCGAACTTATTTTCATTCTTTAAGGTCCTTCCAGCTTTAGTGGTTGTCCTTTACAACTTCAGACTTTTTAAAATGCCTGAAAAATGTTTTTAATGTTTCTTCTGTCTGAAAGAAAAATTTAGAAGTAATAAATTATTTGACTCGTGTTCTGTTTGTAGGTTAATTTAAATTTAGTCTTGTGGCAAGATGCATAAAGTACTATTTTTCAAGATTTTTTATTTATTCATTCAGTCTTGCCTGTAACAAAATACCAGGCTTAAAATAACTTATTATTCGAGCACAATTTGTAATCGTGAGATTTCCTCTTGTGGTCTGCAAGGGGGGGGGGCTCTGTAATTTTTGGTCTTTACCGATCATCTTGATCTTCCTATCCAATGGGATTTTGTTGGGATACTATCAGTTCTTTAAAACTGCTTAGTTTTAACAATCTAATTGATTTATTCTCCATTTGAACATTCCTGATGATTATGTTTTTATTCTAATTTATTTTAGTAATATTTAGAATAAAAACAACTTAAGTCAGCAATATATTACTGACAAAATAATCAGAAATGATCAAACTTAATTAAATTTTATTAATTATACATATCATAATCAATAATAAAATTAATTTTTTTCAGGCCAACTATTATTTCTGCCCTTGGTGTTGGGAACCACTTTTGGTTATGATGAGGATGATGGTAAGCATTGACATTTTATAATGAAATATAAATATATTGTTAATCTTTTAATAAAATTATTAAGAAAGTTGTTAATTTCTGGTACTTATTGAATAAATCATTTGTAAAAAATTATCTATGATCTATGCACCATTACAAATAAATGTTCAACTATATTTTTTTTTCTTTTATGTCAGGACCACACAAGTGGCCAAGATTGTTTAAAGAGTGCGGTGGAAAATACCAATCGCCAATTAACATTGAGCACAAAATGGTAAAGGTGAAAACATTCCGTGCTCTACAATTCCACGGTTTCGACCAGCTACCGTTGAACACTCATATTAAAAACAATGGTCATTCAGGTAATAAAGATGTTTTTCAATTTAAAAAAGAGAGCATAGATTGATGGTTAATTTTTATTAATTACAGTTGAGGTGAGACTTGATACCGACGAGCCAATTCAAATAAGCGGTGGTCCACTTCACAGGAATAGTTACACCCTTGAGCAGATGCATTTTCACTGGGGGCGCAACGATTCAGTCGGAAGTGAGAATACTATCAATGGCCATCCGTAAGGAACAATAGAAACTTGAACTAAGACAACACATTGACTTTATTTTCTAAACTTTCAGATACCCAATGGAAGTGCATTTGGTTTTTTTCAAAACAATATATGGCACATTTGCAAATGCTTTAAAATCTGGAGAAGATGCATTAACAGTTTTAGCTCTGCTTGTTGAGGTATGTAAAATTGTTAGAAATTTGTTTTAAAATCAAATATTAATAGAGAAAACTAAGTATTATTTAACTAAGAGTAAATAAAGACTCAATAATTACTAGAGATTTAAAGGAAAAAATTAAATTTCATGACTAGGTTTCATATTTAATTTAATTTATGATATAAACTGGTTTTAAAATGTTTTCAGAGGTCGGAAAAAAACAACAGAGCTTATGCTGAATTATTCGACCATGTGACAAAGGTGAATGTACCATCGCAGAAGATGGATCTTCCATATCCACTGCCTTTGTACTATCTACTTCCAAATAACACTGAAAATTACTACACCTACCATGGGTCGCTGACAACCCCGCCTTGTCTAGAAGTTGTCACTTGGATTGAATTTACGACACCGATTCCTGTGTCCCATCAACAAGTAAGTTTTAGCGAATATTGTCTGTTTACGCCAAAGTAATTTGTAAAGCAATTACACTGCCGAAGATGTCTTTGGATTTCAGTTAATTATTTTTTATGTGTGGTTTTCAGTTGGAGATGATTCGAAAGCTTTATTCAGATCATGGCCCACTGGCGGAAAACTATAGGCCTGTTCAAGAACTCCACGGACGCACAATTTACTACAACGAAAGAAATTCAAGTCCTCCATTATTAAACATTTATACAAACCTGGTTATTTTTGTAATTAATTGCCTTCTAATCCGTTATATATGATGGAACATAAAATGTAGTTTGAAGATTCAAAGATCTCAAAATTGAAGATATTTGTTTTGTTTTTTTATTAGAAAATTTGATAAGAACAGGTTTTTGTGGCCAAAAAAGTCCATTTTGTTCTAACTTTACTAATACAATTGTGATAACCTGTGATATGTGCTAATATGTAAATTGTATATATTAAAAATATTAATTTCAAAATAAAGTTTTTTTTAATAAATCATTTTTATTTAAATACCAGGCGACATTGCCAAAAAAAAGCAGTCTTTGGTTGTATATACAATCCCCTTGATTCACCAGTAGACTCAAAATGTATCAGCAGCACAAACTTTCATGGGATATTAATGTGCTTAGTCATCTAAGGAAAATTTTCTTAGACTTGATTCTTATCTCTTGAACTTCATTGCCTCCGGATTGGTACTTTATCATAATAAATTTTAATCATAAAGTTTGATACATTTTTTAATCATAATCTTGAAAAATTGATATAATTATTTTCTATTATAAAGGTTCATACATATTAAAAACACTGCTCACATTAAAATAGCAATGGAATTCTGTTTTTAATTAGCAATGATGTCAAAATCAATGAAATTTTTATAACTACAAATAATTTATTCAATAAAAACAATTTATTTGATAACTCGGTTAAAACAGAAAGGTACACAACATACTAAGTTGTGGCCATTTTGTTAGCCCTGAAACAAAATTTTTTTACCAATGGCACTTCTCTTTGTAAAAATAATTAATTTAAAATATAAAAAATAATGAAATATAATTTAAAACTGGTTATAATATTAATAATATGATGAGATGGAAATGCAACGAATCAATTTATGTTATGGCTTTCTCTTTATTAATTTATTTTACTAAAACTCATGATGGTCCATGTTGAAAAAATGGGTCTTTTTTTACTTATTTATTCATTGCAAAATTGTATATATATAAAAGACACAAAAATGTTGTATTTGGTTTTGAATAATAAAACACCTATGAAGATTAAAAAAATGATTTTATCACTGTTTCAAAAAACCATGTGCTAAAAAACAACAATTTTAAATTTTACCTTCCAAGCATGCTATCAAGAAACACAAAACCTCACAAATAAACAAAAAAAAAGAAACAAAATTCAGGAAAATTAAGTGGTTTGGACTTAAGAGCATTTAGGGCGTAATCCTTGCGTCCTAAATGAGATGACGCTTTCGAAATTGCAAAACTAAGCCCACCCATGCTTTCTAACACATCTATTTAAGCTAACGGTAAATTAATAACTAGATACTTACCAAAATGCCTCCCAAGAAAAGTATAACGGGCGCTAAGAAAAGTATCGCTAAGAAAAGCATCAGCGGAAAAAAGAAGAGCATCTCAGGTAAGAAGAAAAGTTCCATTAAAGGTTCAAGGAAGAGTATAAAAGGAGGCAAAGGAAAACGAGGATCAAAAGGAAGAAAGTCCATGGTTGGCGGTTAGTGAACATTTTTGAACTCCTAGATTAATTAATATAATTTTAATGATCATTCTGTAAAATCACTTTAATCACTTTCGAGCAGTTTTAATTTTACAAAACCAACAAAATACATCATTAGACTTAAGTAGCTTCTTTTCCAGTACATATTGATGGAAAATAAGTTTATAGTTTTTCTATTTCAGTTCAGTTGAAACATAATTCTGAAGTATTTTACAAAACAATACTTCGGCCCAAAATAAATAACATTTACCTAGAATTTATGTTTTGTTATATTATTATATTAATAAAAATATATTTAACAATGCAAATCGTAAAACAATGAATTAATACAGCCTATTAAAAATTAGCATCTTCATTGAATTTACAAATTTTCAGATTTGCTTAGTGAACTACCTGAGTATAATGCCGAAAATGTTCGAGATGCAATGCATGAAATGGAAACTGCTGAATCGCCCATTAACTTAACCCTTGGTATATTGAAAAAGATTAGACTCCCACCGATTAACTGGTATAATTACGACCTAAAGGCGCATGCAATGAAATTGTCGAACACTGCTTATTCAGGTTGATTCTAAATACCATAATTATAGTATATATACCATACTGATACCAATATCTAATAATACATTATACTACACTTTTATTTGATTTGTAGCTGTGATTTTATAAGCTTTTTTCTTTTAACTATTGATTTTATTTAAAGATTAAAAGATTTGAGATGACCTATTATCCCACCTTCAAGAAGGAAGAATCATAATATTAATTGTTGAGGTCAAAATATAAGAAAACGTCGTTTAAAAATATTTTCAACGAGATTTTGCTAGTTTTTTGTTTTGTTGTTTGTTTTTGTTTGCCAGTCAAAATGTTTCTTTATTACATATAACATGTGCCATCATCATTTGAAGTCTAACTTCCAAGCTTGTCTGCCTTAAGAAGAGTTTTGTTCTTTTTCTATCAACGTGTATGCTTTTCTAGTTTTTTTAGTTCATCTTGGGGGTTTGTAATCGGGTGGTTTAGGGTGTGAAGTGATTGGCCCTCAACATCTTAGTCCAGTGCATCTGGACATGATTCTCCTCTGGTTCCTTCAAGGGAAGATGTTAGTACTCCTCTAATTCGTGAAATGTCCTACAACCTCAGGTTGTAGCCAGGGGTCCCTTTTTCCTTGGCGGGCTTGGGACTGGGCGTACTAGCAGTGCCTATGCTAATGACAAATGTGTTATTGGAAGATAAGTATCAGTGATAACAGATGCATTCACCTCATTAGAGCTAGTGAGAAAGATGGCACTTGAAATTATTGTCAATGACAACATATAACTCACAGACTAACTAACAGATACAACTATAAGAAAGTTGAAGTATCAAATATCTAAAGATCTGATAAAGACAATAATCGCATAAAACAGGAAGTAACGCAGAGACTCATTGCTGCAAATAAATGCTAAACTAGTGGGCAGCCGCTCAAGACAGAGAGCAATGGAGGAAGATTCTTGAAGCAGCCAGGACCCAGTAATGATAATGGGTGCTAAAGATGATGATGATATACTATCAGGGCATAATCCACTTTATAACTAATTTTGCTATAATCTTTATAGTATAAAATGTGTTATTATTGTCTTGTTATAAGTGAGATGGATGAGTTTCTAAAGGTTTCTTGAGGTACATAAGAGCCCCATCATTGAATAATTAGGTGATTTTTAAATCTTAACTATTTTTAGCTGAGTTTTCTTTTTTGTCCAAATCTTCACTTATGTCTATATAAAGAGTATAACACATATGTAAAAAGTTTTTAGTACTTTATTTTTTCACAGTATACTTTGGTGTTAGTTGCTTAATTGTTTCAGCAATGTAGATAAACATGACAGTCCCTGTTCGTCTCCAGTCAAACTTCATCATTTTTTCAAACATTTCATTCATGGGGTTGAGTAATTACAAAACCATAAAATTTCATAATCTCTGATCATCTTTGACTTGACATTAACATATTTCACAATTTACAATTTTTCAAGCATTTTTAACTCGTTTTTCATACAAAGACTGTTTATTTTTAAAATGAATGTTTTTCTCATTGAGTTGTAATATGCATTAAAACTCATCGTGGTATTTTAGTCGTACTGACTGGCCTTTGGGGAGAGCATTCAAGGCCTTTTATTAATGGTGGACCATTTTTGGACGATTACGAATTTTCACAAATTCATTTTCATTGGGGTCAATCTAACTCTGAAGGTAGCGAGCACACTGTCGATGGTGTTCAGTAAGTAAAAGATTAATTCTGATACTTTGTTAATCACAGCCTGAAAGAACTGTCTAATCTATTATTATTATTTAAGATTTCCATTTGAACTGCATGCTGTGTTTTATCGAAAACTGTATGAATCGCACGAACGAGCCAAAGCCGAAGAGGATGGCATCGCTGTTCTAGTATATTTATTCAAAGTAAGAGCAAGTAAACATTTAACATTTTCTGTATGTATTGTTAAAACCATACAAGTTTTTGTCATAATCTTATCCAGCAGAAGATACGTTATATTGAAAACCTTTAAACAATATAATTAATTTTTTTCAGCTTGCCCAGACAACGAATGTAAAGCTGCAACCTATAACTGATTCTTTGCCTTCAGTCGTAAATGCCTATACAGATGCCTCTATCGACCCAGTCCCTTTGATATCACTTATTAAGAATATTATTGACGATTACATTCTGTATCTTGGAGTTATGAAGTACAAATGTGCACATGGTGTGTTGTGGCTGATCTGCAGGGACACATTTGGAATAACTGAAGCACAGGTGATTTTTTTTCTTTTAAAATTTGTTATGTTGAGAAAACATTTTCCAAATTTTACCACAACTATGTTGAGGATCGTTTATTGCCTTCTTAAATAGTTATTGACAGATTTCGACAAACAGAATGGAAAACATTTATTTTTCTATTTAATTTTTTTTATCACAGCCAAACTTTTGTATAAAATAGAATTCAGTTTCTTTTTATGATGATATGAAATAAGTTAAACAGTAGATATATTAACTATGTATAATTATACATTTAAAAACACATTTAAAAGGCATGAGATGAAAATTCAACTAAATATTAACAGTCAGAATTATTTATAATAATAAATTTCCATAGGCTACTGTGAAAGAGTGATTGGATTTTAACCGATTAATATTAACATGCTCAAAATATAGACATTGTTGATATTACTGAATATAATAGTTTTAATGTCATAATGTAATGACAACTGGACTGGACATAAAACTTAATTTATTCAAAAGAGTACCGTTATGTGAACAGCGGATATTATTGGTTTTTGTTGGTTGGATTTGTTTTTATTTAACTTTCAGCACACGATCAAGTTATTGAAGCTATTTGAAAGTAAATGCTTGAAATAAAGTTTTATATCGTTAATATTAACAATTAGTCCGTGAGTTAAGCATTCCCCCATGGCTAAATTATCCCTGATTGTGCTGTATGTTTTTTTCCTAGAGAATCTTTGTGTCATGTGGTTTGTCTGCAAGTTTGGTTCTATAATGAAGATGGCAAGATAGTGAGACAATGGTACAGACCAATATGTAGTTTGGTATTTTCTGATCATTTTGGCTTGCTTATCCTTGCTTTTGTAGTCTATCTGATGCTTTTTGCCAGTGTCCGTCACCGATTAAAATAGCAATGATAGGCAGACAAAAATTATGGGAAATTCCAAACTAAGGGTTCTTCAGCCCACAGCTATCATGAAGAAATATCACAAAGACCAATGTGATCATGGTTATGTAAAAAGTAGTAATTGAAAGAAAAAAAATGGTTGGATTAACAATATAAAGGATCATATCTTTGAGCAGATATTAATGTATGGAATGTAAATGCTATAAAGACAGTTAAGCCTTTGAAAAGAAAAGAATTATATGTTTAGAAGAATCTGTAAAAGGCTGGAATTCTCAGTTTTCAATTGATTCACCCTGGAGTTCGTTGATCGATTGAATTGAAATTTAATTTTTTTCCCAGAAAAAATGCTAATTCTGGTTGAAATGAGAAGAGTCACTACGCAATAAACCATATGATTCCCTTTTAATGGGTTAGAAAAAACATACAAGAACATTACAGTGATCAGCCATACAGAAGTTGATCTAACATCAAGGCTGTGCAACAAAAAAAAATTGTTAAAAATTACAGTTAAATCTCAACTCGCTGTATTTTTGAAGAAAATGTAAAATGCAAATTAATTAGTATAAACAAAAACCAAAAATCCGAGAACTTTTTCACAGTAAATGATAATTAAAATATTTTATAAAATTTCACGGTAACAGTCTGTGTGCTTGCAGCTACAATTGTCCTTGCTTAATTCAATATAACATTTTAATTTATAATATTCTTATAGTCCATATAAAATACTGCCAATTTTCTTATAGATATAAGGGTGAAAAGACAGAAATAACAATACAAATTATTACCTAGGTACCTACAAAGTACCCAAGGTCTTAGACAAATTCTTTTACATTTTAGATGAAAACTGATCTGAAAGGGTAGCCTAACAAAAACAGTTTTTATTTAATTGTCAAGCTTACAGTGATTATCACCATCATACGTTTATATAAATTTGCGTTAACATAATTAATATGAAAAAAATAATGTGGACAAAGATTGTATCGTCCAAAACACAAGAAATTGTTTTGATTGACCTTTCTCCTCTTTTCCCCTATTGAAAAGCTAATTTACATTCATAAACATTTGTAGATTTAGTAGGTAAAATCAAAGGGATTACAAAAGAAACAAGTTTGCTGGTCACACAGACTTCATTATGGGTTGAGAGTAATTTTAAATAAAAAAAAGAAAACCTGGTCATAAAGTTTAAGTGTGTTAGAAACAAAATAATACAGGATGCACTACTGCCTTCAAACCAACTCTATTATGCTGAAGTGTAACAAAGGCCTGAATTTGTGTTTCTGTGCATTTTAGCTGGATATATTCCGAACCGTGCTGGACAAAAATCATAACCCCATACCAAAGACGAGTTGGGGGGTGGCCCCTTTCAAGGATCGAGTTGTTTTCCTTGCCAACCCAGACGATCCTGAGCCTAAATGTGTAATTCACCCTAATAGCGATGTGTCGTCAAGGGGATCATCAGTCAAGACGTCAAGGAGGCAATCGGCAAAGTCGGATAAGCAGAGGAGACAATCAGCAGGCGGAAGAGCATCCGTTAGGAGACAGTCTGCTAGGAGACAGTCTAGGAGACAGTCCAGGAGACAATCTAAAAAATAACCAAAAATATTTACTTTTCCTGTCTCATAAAGCAATTGATGATTGAATGACTTAAAACTTTGATGTACATGAAGTGTAATTACAACCTAGCTATGTTAAATGCAAATTGTAAAGGTGTAAAGTGATAAAAGATTGTTTAACATAAAAAATTACAACCTAGCTATGTTAAATATTGTAAAGATGTAAGGTAATAAAAGATTGTTAACGTAAAATACTGAATTTATTGAACCAGCATTTTTCACCGGTATCTTTAAATATATATTATCACAAATATTGATTTGATCTTGATTGTGATTTTTACATTACTAAATTTCAAATATGAAATACATATTAAATAGTCTAATATAGCTAAATACTCTAAATTTTAATGATAAAAATTGCTCAACAAATGTAAATGTATTTAGAATTTCATAACACACATGAAAGTAATTGTAAAATAATGATGTAAAAAACATGTATAAACTGTCTGTAAAATGTATTGTAAGCAATAATAAATGTAAGAGAAAGTATTGCATGAGACGGATTTTCATCACACTTTTTTATTTTTTTAATCATATACATTCATTACTTAAACAGAGAAGTTATTCGATGAAATTTTAATAACTTTACAATTTTAACTGAAAGAGAACTATTTAATACATTTATGAAAACTTAATCATTCTCATTTTAGCTTGGAGCATTTCGACTATTGCAAGACAGGTACAATAATCCGATGCCAAAATCATACAGGGACGTCCAAGAACTTCAAAATCGTATTGTGTTTTTATGCTCGCCCTCAAAGAAGTCAACAAATCTGCTGTATCCGTACGTTGAATTGACGAAAAAGGGCGACAAGAAGAGATCAAAGTCGAAAAAGGGGAAAAAGGGTAAAGGTAAAGGCAAAGGAAAGGGTGGAAAGAATAAACGGAAAGGAACTGCAAAAGGCAAAAAAGGTGGAAAGAAATCTTCCAAAAAGAAGTAAAAATGGCAAACAGCAATTTTGAGGAGCTATCATCTTTGCAGTAGCATTTTTGTCTTTTATATATATATTTATATATGTAAGTCTGCATCTGTCTATGCAGCACTTAGTCTTGTCCAATATAGCTCAGAGAAGAGATGTGTTAGACAAACATTGGCTAACCACACAAAAACAGTCAACACAACAATAAAAACACAATAACAACATAAAACACTAGTCTTTTTTTTCTTAAAGTAACTTAATGTAAAATTAATTGCTATTATTCAAATTAAGAAATTTACAATAAATAGCAAGCATTTTATAGTTTTTGATTGGGATAGTAGGGTGAATTTTTTTTATTGATACTGATTTCACCCAATTCATTTAGCAGTCTAACAAAGTTATGAAAAATATATTCATGGAAACTGCAATTTGGTCTATTAAAGAGATTACGAAATACAATAAAACCTTTTTAAAATTGGTTTTAATTAGAAAAAAGTAAGTGCAATAATTCCACTTATGATTTTTCCTTCTTGAAGGTGGGATAATAGGTCATCTCAAAAAAACCACAACCAGTTTTATCCACAACGTTTTGGATTTATTTTAATCCTTCCTTAGGTGAGTTAACGCCTGTACAAAGAACAAATATTTTTTACATTTTTAGATCAACATGGTTATCATTGTTTTTTTCACTATTTCTTTTTTTTTCTTTTTTTATGTAAAGGGCCTCCAGGAACTTTCGTTTTTTACTATTTCGTTCCTTTGTAGCAATACCAACATCATCAAATAAAAATGACCTCCAACAACTGCATGTTGTGCTGAGGCAGTTTCATTGTTTTTACTAGTTTGGACTGTGTATTTGTGTTGATAAATTCTATTTAGGTATTTTTTGGTTTCAACGTAGTATACTTTCTTGCAGTCTTTCTCAATTTTATCTTTTAGCAGTGAGTAGTACTTTTTAACCGCATTACTGTTTCGGAAGGCCAACTTAACTAGAGGGAACTTCCTTTTCAGACACCTTCTCAACTGTTCCGATAATCCTTGGATGTAAGGGAAAGTGACATAGGAAATTTCAGAATCATTTTCATCTTCTAGGTTTTCCGAGTTTTCGTTTGGATTTATCTTCCATAGATCGTTATTGTTTATAAATTAATTTACCATCTTTCTCGGGTACCCATTCTTTTTTAAAATTTCCCAAACCAGTGTTTTGTCTTTATTGGTAACACCTTTCGACGACAAATTGAAAACCCTTCTTAGTAATCCAATCAGCATGATAACTTTGGTTGACCATGAATGGGAGGACATATACCGTATTAGCCGGTTTGATGTCATGGGTTTTGAGTACCAAATCGTACTCAGATTTCCATTAACCTTACGCTATACAACCGTTTTCCTCCAAGTAGTGAAAAAACAATGATAACCATGTTGATCTAAAAATGTAAAAAATATTTGTTCTATGTACAGGCGTTAACTCACGTGAGGAAGGATTAAAATAAATCCGAAACGTTGTGGATAAAAACTGGTTGTGGTTTTTTTGAGATGGCCTATTATCCCACCTTCAAGAAGGAAAAATCATAAGTTAAACTCCTGAGGTCGAAATATAAGAAAATATCATTATTGCAATAATTCCTTGAACACAGGGGGCTTAAAATCCACCTCTCCGTTTGACTTGCAGATGATGGTCAAACTATTTTACACTACTGCTTCATATTATGATCAATTAAAAAGCCATGTGCTATGCCAGGATTTGAACCTAGAACTGCTACTATGGTAATTTGAGTCGGGTACCCTAATCACTCAGCCCCAAGATTTTAGTTAGTATACAGATTGCTATTTTCTTGTTTAAATTGTGATAAAGGAGTAATATACTTGTATAGATAAACTTTTTTTTAACATTTATAGAAGATAAATCTAGATATTTGAGTAACTAGAGTTTTAAACTATTCAGCATTAATAATTTGAATTCTTGCAAATTTTGGTTTATTATGATTGGCTTAAGCAATAAGCAATAATTATTCGGAGATCGTGAGATGCAGTCTGGTGTGACGTAGGTTTTAGAAAAGCATTTTCTTTATCGGGCCAATGTTTTGATCTTTATTGAGATCATCTTCAGGGCCTGGGATTTACAAACATTGTTTAAATTTAACAAATACCTATAGGATGTGGAAAAAACTGAATTTATACTAAAAAGTGAATGATAGATTTTATTATCCAAAATATCGCACAATTTTACTAAGTCCATTTCCCTCTTTTTAAAATCATTTTTCAAACTCAAGAGGATTGTCGCCAGGCAGTTTGAACCCAAGTGATGGATGGGTCCGGTCCTAAGAAAGAAAAGGGCCTAAGAAGAGAGTTAAGTAATAAATTATTTAGTCAACTAACAATGAAAAATGCAGTATCTCTTAAGGAGTGTGGGAATGTTCCAGTTAGAAAAACTGATTCATCGTCCCTTTCCCCGTAACAATATAGGAGTTCAGCTTCAGCTAGAAAGGAAGACTCTTGGTCATTTGAGTGACTCCTTCCAGCTGGTCCTGACCCTGACCGAGTAAGTAATTTCATCTCACTCAAAATTCTGTTAACAAATTTTCCTCACCTACCCCTGTGTTACATTTTTTTATCTAAAAATTTTAATTTTATTCTTCTTTGGGGTCACTGGTGACAAAGATTCCCTTTCTTCGAAAGATGGAATTGACCCTTCTTTATTTTTGATCCCCGAAAAGTGCAATGGCTATAAAAGCCTATTATATTATATTTCCTTAATTCATGACTTCTTTGTCAGAAAGAGAAATGTATTTGTCTTTTCTTAGTTGAAAATATTGAGTTACTTCTTTGATTGTTTTGTACATGGTGAATTCATCCAGTGGTCTTTTTTCCCATACTTTTGTTCAGTTCCGCTTTTATCATGGCATGCCAATTTGCAGTTCGGTCCAGAGTGTGGGGGTCTTCTTCTGTTTTTGTTAGTTTTTCAGCCAGTTCCTTTCATTGTCGCCTTTTGTCCTGGTACCCACATCAGAGTTACCTGATTTTGTTTTCTCTGGAGCTGAAAGTATGTGAGTTATTCCCAGACAAACTTTGAATTGAAGGTGAAGGATTTCAAGGGCTTCAGAGATGTTTCACTGTTTAAGAGTAGTATTCTTTTGCAGTCCTTGGCAATGTTGGGTGTAAGTCTATCTTCAAATTTGAAACCATCTTTAAAAATTGTTTTGCCCTGATGATGACCTCAAAATAGGACGAAAGCATGGCAGATAACAATTGAATTTGTTTTTGATCAAGACCATACTGAGACCAAGATTATTCGTGTGTAAAAATATTGGTCAATACATCTAACTCTTTAAATAAGAATATGTTTATTTGTGCACCTTTTAATATTTTTTAAAAGTCAATTTCTGGTGCACAGAGTTCTAATAGCATGGATCTCAGATTGGAAAATTGATGGTATGGGCCTAAAGCCTTTTGCTAGGTCAAAATTTGATTTCGTTATTTGAGTCTCAAGAACATTGGAAACTAAGTCATAAAAGAGAGATGTTGAATTAAATTATAGAAATAAAGTACAGCATGTAAAAAGAAATATAAGAGCAATAATAATATAATGATAAATGCATTTTATTAATATTCACAATACAAAATCACCTTTTAGGATTACAAAGTATTACAAATACTAATTACATGAACTATGTCCGTCTGTAGGAGTGTTAATTCAGATGTGTTTAAAAAACAAAATTTAAAAATAAAATTAGAAAAGTAAGTTAATTAAAAGTTGAATTCTTCAATTAATATTTTTCTGTAAATATCTGATGAAGGGTTCATGTTTTCAATGAACATATTGCGCAGGGCACGCTTCTGCCTATCCTGAGGTCTATCCACTGAGTAATTAAGTTGCAATAATTCCTAATCTTAAATACTGTAGCCATAAAATACCTCCTATTTTTATGATTCATATAATTATGTCCACCAAGTTGAACATTTAACATTTTATATACAACAATTTGGCTGCACTTCTAGCACTATATAAATTTGCCATAAAACTTTTTTTTGTAGTTGATTTATATAATTACTATCTTTTTCGTAGATAAGGTTCAGGCTGAAATTGAATTTGTAGCATAGCTCATATATTTTCTTGAACCAACCAAATTTCCTAGTTATAATGCAATCTGCTAAATATTTTTTAAGAGGGGATCTGTGTCAATTCTTTATTTACATAGCTAATGTGAAACCAGAAGGTGTAATAAAATAGAGGGAGCCGATCTGTTTCCAAATAACTAAGTAATCAGGTGT